CGAGACAAAGCCATGAAAAGCAGCATTCATGTTCACAGAGAAACTTTTCCTTGCCTTACTTTTGGGATGCAGAGCGTGCCTCTTGAAGAGTACCTAGCGGCATCCAAGTGTGGCTCATCATGGCCAGTGTGGAGTACTTAGAGGAGAACTTGCTCAGTGCTGTATGGTCAGGTGGAAGCCCTAGGCTCTTTCCCCTGGGTGCTTTGTGTCTCATCTCAGATGTCGCTATTTTTGAAGCCAAAATCGAAGTTGGAGAGCAGATTCTATGAATTGTATGAAGGGCTGGAGCTAATAAGCTCCATGTTCCTGGGTGCCCCTTGTAGTACCAGCTAACTTACCTTCAACTTAAATTGGTAGTTTTGATATTATTAGCAGGTTGTAGATTTATTTTCATTTGGGAGGGAGAGCACAGAGAAAGGAGAAACGTGAGTTTTTTTACTGCATAAATTGAGACTTATTTCAGACACCTTGCAGGGATTGTGCCGGCTTCATAAATTCTAATTTGGATTGTTAATACAAATTACAGCTTTACAAACTGAACTATGTGCACATGAAAATTCTCAGTAAAAAATAATTAACTCATGTAAAGCTGTGACCTTAAGTTGGAAGTAGAAAATTGGTTGATAAGGCTAATTGAAAACTGCCAAAAAATGAGGAAATATGAAATTAATATCCATGAATAGGCAAGGCTTAGTTTGCACCTTCTCTAATATTGTGTTTGTATAGAGATAATACTGAATGTTTTGATAGTGAAGAGTTGCCATCTGAAAAACAAAGAGTGCATATAATACTCAGAATATGGAAAGACAGTTTCTGAAGAACTTTGTGCAAGTGTTAATACTTACAAAACCAAGCACATGCTCAAGAGTTATAACCATCCCGTGCAATTACTTCTGAGTAATACACTTCGTTGTTTGTTGTGCTGATCTTCTAACTGCTGAAACTTTGGGTGTGAAACTCAAGGGTCAGAGAGTAGTCATCACAAAAGTAACTTCTTAAAATTCATGTGATTAATACGTTACTAACTGCACAGATCTTCTGCTTTGGTGACTATCCAAGCATGGGGTTATTACATTTGTCATCGCAGTCATTTTATTCTGTGCTATATGTTGTACAACTGTGTCATATCATAGTTGCTAAGCATGTTCTTGAGTAAGGATATTTTTTAAGAGGAAGCTGTAAGATTGTTGAATATGCATGTGTTCAGACTGTAAGAATACCATAAATTCAAATCATCAAAGCTATTTTCATTATTGTGATAGTTGATTTTTTAATGTTTAACTTCAGTGATATGAAGTCATTAAAGTGACAGTGTAATTTAATGTCATTTTTTAAACTAAGGAAATTAATACAGTATGTACAAAATAGATTTAATATATTGAAGGCGTGTTGCAAATATAGCTGTTATCCTGTAAGTATTTCCATCATTACTCCTGTACCTAACCCCTAAAGTTTTTTTTTATTGTGTTAGTTTAATACATGTTGCTAGATAACATGTGAGTAAATTATGGTGATTACTGGAGGGAACTGAGTTAATCTAGCCCAGTTTTAATTGGATGTAATTTAAATATTGATGTCATTAAGTTACACAGTTGCATATTCTCATTGCTGCACATAGGCTGTTCTAAGTAGAAGGCTCAGGGGACTCACCATTGCATAATTCATTCTGCACAGGTTGTGCAATTAACTACATTTACCTGCATTTGACTTGCACTTGAATGAGTTAAAATATTCTGCAGCAATTCTGTTCTATGTTAACATTGAGTTTCATTTCTTTGGTATGTTTAAATCAGCAAATTTATATATTGTTGCATATTTAACAAAGCTGATTCAGGAAGCTGGTTATAGATTCATTTGTATATAAAATGTTTAGTAGTGTAGCACAAGGAAGGGCTGTTGGTGAATGAATAAAACTTTTTCAGTTGTGTACAAGGTTAGTGTACACAGCAGGGCTCAGGTGTAGGGCAGGATTTATGTCTTCGGATAGACTTGACACATATTCCTTTGTAATTCAAAATTAATTCAGGTAATATTGTCCAGTTTTCTTTCTCTCTCTGAAGCTATACTTACTTGACTAATTTAAGGACTGCAGTTTGAGGAGTGCCTGGTTTTGGGCAGTACAGATGGGTTTATTCCTGGGCATATGTGGCTGTTCGTTGAGGTTAATTATCCATAAGGTCCTGACTTATGAGGCTGCTGGAATAGCTGGTTAACTATGAATAATTTAGTACAGCGTCATATTGCATGCCACTTAAGAAGGCTTCTGCCTGTGAATCCTTATATCTTGCTGAAATCCACTCAATAGTATGAAGGTTACTGTTTGCATTGATATTTTATTCTACTCTTTTCATTCTATTTTAAGATTTGTCAGTGTACAAAGGCAATGTGAATATTTTATGGTGATAAGTAATAAAAGTACCTGTGCAAGAGTAGGTATAGTTTATTTTTTTAAAAAAGCTGAGGTATTGAGCTAGTCTTCAGTGTTAAATTGTTTTTTAAATTTATTTTAAATCTTGGACTAGCATTTTCTCCACTGAGATTTATGTAGTTGAGAGAATTCACATCTTAGAATATACTTTTAGGCAGTACTTCATTATGGGGAAAGGAGAGAGGCTTAATGAAAGACTTGCTAGCAAGAGTACAAGATTTCAGTGCATTCTACAAATTGCCTTAGTTGCTCATACATCTGGCTAGAGCAGACTGTGTCTCATATTACAGAGGCTTTTTCAGAGAAAAACTGCAAATACAGAACTTTGAAGCAGTTCCAATTGCAGATAAATTTACTGTATGCCTTTAGGAGACTTGATCATTATAACTTAGCACTGGGGTGTGTTTTCTGTAAGAATGCTAAAATGAGAGTGTTCTGTCATTATCATAAACTAGATTTTTCACAAAAACACCCCAAAACATTAGAGAAGAGTTTAATGCAGAAACAAGTTGCTTTGGAAATGTTAAGGGCAGAACGTAAGAATATGAACATGTAACACAAGTAGTAGAGAAAAAGTTTTCTTTGGGTCTTTTTGGGGAGAGAAACTGATACTTTATGTAGGGAAGGTCTTTCAGATGTCTGCAATGGTTTTCTCCCTTTCTGACTACTTCCAGATTTCCATTAGTGCTCCCATTCTCTATCTTGACTAGTAAGTTTTTCTAGTATAAGAAGGGAATCCTCTCCCAAGAAAACCTAGGAGACAGGTTTTCAGTCCTTGTGCAGTATTTTTAGAAAGGGTTCTGGTGGTCTATTGTCACCCCTTCTAAAAGTCACTTCTGCAAATGACAGTGGAAGCACATTATCCTCCTTGTCTTGCTGCATGGTCGGATAGAAAGGGAGAGAGGCAGGTGAACATCAGGAATGGTACCCAGTGGACAGAGTTTTGGGCAAAATGTGTGTTTGTTAGTCATTATGGGTCCATTTATTGGGATGCTCTATTATAGCTGGACGTATCTTAACTCGTCTTTAGAATTGTTTTATAGGACACTTCCAACCTCGTTTAGAAAGTAGAACTTTTTTTCTTTTCCAAATTAGATTTGCTGTAATAGATGTGATGCTGTTAAAAGTTGACATGGTGACATACAGTCATCCCTTGGCGCCCGCTTCAGCGATTGAAGATGAAATATGCCTTTTATCTTTTTGTGCTCCTTCACAGGGTAGTAAGTAATTTAGGTGTCCCTTAAGGGTTGGTAGTTAAATGCTAAGATCTTGCTAGATATGTTTAGTTCTCCTTAAAGACAAGCATTCAGATCGGTCCCTTTGAACGGGCACTCTTTGAGCTGTACAATATGGGGATGTTTTAATAAACTCTCAAACCTCTAATAGTTCTGCAGTTTACTACTGACTCAGTTGATACTTTGATGGAAATGCAGCTTTGTTTACAGATGGAAAGAATTCATTGCAGTGTTTAGACCTGGTGTAAATTTTTTAAGGCTGTTTATTTTCAAATTGGGAGCTTAAAATTCAACTGAAAATTAGTGGGCCTTTCCATAATCTGGAGCTTTTTGATCTATGCTTTAATTGTCTTCTCTCTGCAAACACTTTTTATGCTGAAATAAACTGTAGTTTAGTTTACTAGGCAGCCATGAAAAGTTGAATTGTCAATTTTCCTGATTCAAATGATAAAAGATGTCCATGTTCTATGCATAGTATTTGCTTGTGCTTTTCTGGTATGCTTATATTCTTCAGATCCTGATTTGTCTGAAATCTGATGATTTCAATTGCTATAAATCATTAATGACATTGTATCTGTGGGCAGCTGTTGCTGGGCTTGTCTGAATCACAAATGTAGGTCACAGACCTCCTCCTTTGGAAAAACCACTGCATCTCCTGTTGTCCTAACATTAAGGCAGTGCACCAGTTTCAGGCTTCCAATCCTGGCCTAAGCCCATCATGCAGATGGGGTAGTTTTTCTGACTGCCACTAGTTGCTGGTCTGTGACGCAGTTCTTTGAAGGCTGAGATCATTTGTCTCTCCTTGCCCTACCTGGGCTGTTGTGATTGTTGTGGAATGCAGCCCCCAGGACAGTGGAAGCACTGTGGGGACCAGATGTGAAAGGTGATGTGCTCCCTGCAGCCACTGAGGATAGTAGCTAGGTAGGAGGGCAGAGGAGGTGGAAGGTTCTACATTTGCCCACCCAAGCTTCCTGATATCTGTGAGGAAGTTCTACTGTGAATGTGTGCTCTATGGCTGCAATAGTTATGGCAATAGAAAGGAAGAAGTGCCTGAAAGACTTTTTTCTTTTTTTTCCAAACGTACAATTTTATTGGTGCTGTGTGCAAGAACAAACTATCCCCCAAACCTAGAGGTGTAGGAGCTAACAGACTATGAAGTTACATTCTGCCTTTTTTTATTTTTGTGTTTAAAATAAACTTTTCCCTGTTGCTGTTGATATGTGTCCCTTAGAGTTGCAGTTAAAAAAATACAATGTAGCTGATGGGGTGTCATTGTTTTGATACAACCTGTAACCAGAACTTTATGAAAGCTTTGATATTTTTTGTTTCTTACGTAGCTTTCATCAAGTGGTGATTTTATGCAATGGCATCAAGCCACAGTTCTTCACCAGTGCCTCAGTCAAACAGCAGTGATGCTTTCTTTAAAAAGGAAATGGATGCCACAAAACGCTTTCGACCGGTGCAGTCACTGCCTGATGTGTGTCCGAAGGAACCTACAGGTAATGTCGGTGTGCAAGGAGAGTGAAAATGCAGTTATATTTTCAAATCCATTTACAATTGTTCAGTCATATTTTCTCATAAACTGGGTGGAGTGTACTAAGCTATAGTCTTATTTCAGAGTATGCTATAATCCTGCTTTACACTACTCAGCGTCCCTTTGGAGCCATGGGAGAGACTTCCTATTTGCAGCTTGTTTTTAGGTGTCTACATTATAAATGGGATCATGCTTGTGTGATTTCACATTATAGCTATGATCCATACTACATGCAAGAAGAAGGTATATGCTGTCAGAGCCTGTGACTGACCTGTCCAGCATGCTCGGAGTCTAGGTGCATTACTTCTGTGAAACACCCCAGCCCTCTTGCAGTGGGAAGCAAGAGACCAGGACCTGTCTCTAGCACTGTCATAAGTCTCTAGTGCTATCATAAAATAGCAAAACTGTGTTTTGGTCACAGTTATAGCTGCTGTGGTATCGCAAAGCTTAGCTTATAAAAAGGAGCAGGTGGGGTAGGATCCTAAGAATTAGGAAATATAATGGTAAGGAATTTCAACTGTCATTCTGATTGAGTTCAGATTATTAAAAATATGTTTGTGGCTGGAATTTTTTTCTCTTCAATAGAAGCTAATGTTGAACTAAATATATTTAATGAGTGTCAATACACCACTGTGTTCAAAACTTGTGTTGGTTAATCTGATGGAAGACATGCAAGTTGAAGTGTTGCAGGAGAGTATCATGTGTCTTTTACATAGATAATTCTGATCCACTATGTCATCGTGGAAACATGGTTTGCTTAAGAACCACATTTTAGCAAAAATACAACTTTCAGTTTCTCACCTTAACAAGCTGTCTTGTTTTTTGTGCTGCAGGCGATCCCAGTAATTTATGTGACAGCCCATCTTTAGTTGTGGATCAGCACAGATGGACTATTTATCATTCCAAAGTCAATCTCCCAGCAGCACTAAATGATCCTAGGTTAGCAAAAAGGGAATCTGATTTCTTTACAAAAACATGGGGAGTGGACTTTGTGGACACTGAAGTCACGCCTTCATTCTACCTCCCACAGATCACCAAGGAACATTTTGCATTATACCAACAGGAAATCACTCCGGTAAGAACTCACAGTTAGATGCACGTAGTGCTAGCAGCCAGAAGGAGACTTGAGATCCTTCTTCTAATTAGAGATTGTCCGTGCTAGTAGTCCATCATCCAGCTAGCTGGTAATTAATTTGCTCTTCAGTGCTTGTTTACTCTTCATTAGGCATTTATTCTTTTATAATCATAGTATTCATAGTATGGAAAATGCTGTCTAAATTCTCTCTAGGCAATTTCATTTATTTTTTTTTTCATTTGTATTTCTGAATACTGAGCTCTGCACCAGGCCTGATGGTTCATATTTATTCTTTCTGATTACCAATCCTTTTTCTGTAAGGATTGGTTAATGATTGGGCTCTGCAGTGCAACATAGCGTTTTCAGACCTTTGGATCAAATATAAAACATGACTATGTGCTGCAAAGATTGGAGATATTTTTTAAGTGTCTCTAATTTAAGCATTTATACATTAAGTTCTTAAACTATAAATAGGCCTGTCTTGATGATTTTTTTTGCAACAGGAAAGTTTAAGCTACATCTAAGGACACCAGGACCAGTAGGAGACTTCTACAAACTCTTAAAAACAGGTGTCAGTAAGTATGTAGTATTATTTTATTTTTTTTTTTAACTGAAAGAACATGTAGAAGTCTCCCACTGTTTTCTGCTTCCTTGGTTTGTAACTTACTTATTTTTTTGCTGGTACAGAATTGGCTGCAGGAAGTGTTACTTGTGTAAATCATAGCTAAACTGTGTGTCGTGTTTTAACCCCAGCCAGTAACTAAGCACCATGCAGCTGCTCGCTCACCCCTTCCCACCAGTGGAATGGAAAAAAACCTCATGGGTTGAGATAAAGACAGTTTAATAGGAAAACAAAGGACGATTATAATATAATATAGAAAGGCACAAATGCAATTGCTAACCACCTGTGCAGGGAAAAAAAACCCCAATGCTCAGTCTGTTTCCAAGCAGTGATCCCACCTCCTGGCTAGCTTCCCCAGTTATATACTTAGCATAATGTTGTATGGTAGGGACTGTCCCTTTGGTCAGTCTGGGTCAGGTGTCCTGGCTGTGCTCTCCCAGCTTCTTGTGCATCTGGCTGGGCATGGGAAGCTGAAAAGGCCTTGACTTAGTGTAGACACTACAACTACCTAGCAACAACTGAAAACATCAGTGTGTTATCAACACTGTTCTCATATTAATCCAAAACACAGCACTATACCAGCTACTAGAAAGAAAATGAACTCTATCTCAGCCAAAACCAGGACAGTATGTATATTCCTGAAAAGGGAATTGTCTGTAACTGAACTATTGCTGTTAGTTCACACATTCAACGTTTAAAACATGCAAGACCTCATCCATTAGCATATAATGCAATGACTGAAAAATGAAAGGTTTTAGGAAGAGGGAACTGACCCATGATGTAGCTTCTAGCAGAGTTCTGTCTAACATCAATGTTCTTTGGAAATGTAATTTCTTATCACTATAGTCTCTGATGGTGTTTACACCTGTAGATAAGTAAGATGCTCAGCATGATGAAACAAGATAAGTGGTTTCAGCAAGATGCTCATTAATAAGATGTCAAAGCAATATCTACTTTGATTTGATTTAATTTAGCAATGAAAAAAGCATTCATTGTGTGTTAGTGTGATTTCTGGATTAGACAGCAAATAGATGTTTGGATATGTAATTACAGTTACTCTATGGTCATAATTATGTGGAGAAGTTATTACTCCTCTTCAATAACTTAGGTGTTCGTGTTCTCTTGAGACGTGAAGATACTGAAAAAACCAACATACTGACCAAAAATTTCAACCGGTGGTACCGTTCACCTGGACAAACATCATCTGAGCCTTTAAGAGGAAAAAAGTGTTATTGTGAACTTGTCAGAATTATTTGGCATAACACAGTGTGTGTCACTGAAAATGTTATGAATGTTCTGTTTTGAAAAAAAATTAAATCTTTTTAAAGCCTCAGAGTAATTCTTTAATATATTTTCTTTTTAACAGAGAGAGAAGGTTCATGAAAGATGCAAGAATATTTATACTCCTAAAGATACCTTTGACAGGACTCTATTACACACCCACGGTACAGTCAAAGCCTTCCTTTAGTTGTTAAGAAGTAATTGCTTTAATGAATATTATAACATACCGATCTTCTCCTTTACTTGCTTGAGACTTTCACGTGCAAAAATAGCTGCTGGTGAACAATAATTGAAAACCCAGATATGGTTGACTAGAAACTTTCATAACCACTACTGCTATTTTGTAGGTCAAAATGCTGGTGATACCCACTCTTAACGTTTTCCTTGGCATATTTGCATTCATGGCAGGTCATTATGTCCCTGGCAGTGTTTTCTTTAACTTCCTTTTATTTAAGATCCATTGAAACTGTTGCATCAAATTTCTAGCGTCTGTTGACTTTGCAATGAAGAATGGCAGTGCTGGGCCATTCCCGTCTCTCTGCCATGAGGATCACGGAATGGCTGAGGTGGGAAGCAACGTCTCAATATGTTCTAGTCCAACCCACCTGCTCAAGCAGGGTCACCTATGGGAAGACAGTGTCTGGCTGAGTTTTTAATTTATCCACAGATGGAGATTACACAACCTTTCTGGGCAACCTGTTTCAGTGTTTGATCCCCTCACAGTCAAGGTGTTTCCTCATGTTCAGATGGAATTTTTTGCCTCCTATCCTGTCACTAGGCACCACTGAGAAGAGCCTGCTCTGTTGTCTTTACACCCTCTGATCAGATATTTAAAAACACTTATAAGATCCCCCTGAGCTTCTCCAGTCTAAACAGACTCAGTGCTCTCAGCCTCTCCTCATACGAAAAAAACCCTGGTGTCTTAATCATCTTTGTAGCCCTTCACTGGACTCGCTCCAGTGTGTCTAGGTCTGCCTTACACTGGGGAACTCAGAACTGGGCACACTGCTCCAGGTGTCTCACCAGTGCTGAGTGGAGAGGGTAGATCACATTCCCTCAACCTGCCAGCAATTCTCTGATGCCTAATGCAGCCCAGGATGCTTTGCTGCAAGAGTGCACTGCTGGCTTATGGTCAGTTTGTTGTCTGCCAGGACCCCAGGTCCCTCTCTGCAGGGGTGCTTTCTAGCCACTAGACCCCTAGCATCTACTGGTGCCTGGGGTTATTCCTCTACAGATGCAGCACTTTGCCTTTTCCTGTGTTGAAAATGAAGTTCCACTCTGGCCAGTTCTCTGCTTAGTATTTCTCTGATTACTGTTAGCAAAGACTACCTGGCCTTTTTTTTTTTTTCAGCTCTAGCAAGGCTAGATTTCAAGATTTTGTGGAAATAGTTCAGCTAATTTGATACTGGACAAAGGAAGGCGAGAGGCAAAATGAAAAAGACAAGCAAAGTGAGAAGAAACACTCATAACCTGGAGCAAGCTTTTAATATTTAATTTATTTTAATTTATTTTCTCAAAAATGTTAGCATAAAAGGGTTCATTTGCCAATCACTGTTTGATCTGGCTTGTCTATATCAATGTCTACAGGTAATCACAGCTTCAGGAAGCATTCAGTAGTTTATTCCTTCTGATCAATATCTTTCCATTGGCTTTCTTCCTCCTTTTCCATGCAAAAGGAAGGCCTTCTGTAGGGTTTCTCTGTGCTTGTGTTATTTTGGAATAGCTGTTCTTGAGTGAGTCTGTGGCACATACAGCAAAATAGAAGTTCCTTCTTCAGGATTAACTCAATCCATTTTGAAAGAGTCTTCTGTTTTTAAAAATAGAAAATTACTGTGTCACCAAAGTAACTGAGATCTTTCCTAGTGGAAACATTGTTTGGTAAACTGAAACTCTTTATTTTCTATAGTTTCTTTTGTTAGCATTGCCTGTCTTCCTCTAAGTCCAGCCCACAAGACTTAGCCTTTCATTTCCATAAGAGTTGGTCTGTCCAAAGACTGAGGACAACAAGATGATTCCTAGGTTGCCTTTTGTATTTCAGTACAAATAAAGAAAGATACAAATAAAGAACCAAAGAGGTGAGAGAAATGTGGGAGATAATGCTGATGTAGCACTTACCATGTTTGTCAAGGATGAGTAGACCATCCAGCTCAAGTACAGGCTTGTTGCTTTTAAAATCCTCACATTTTTTGGCCTCCAGCATGCCCCCTCTTCATAATGCACACTAAGTTAATGAGTCAGAGAGGAAAAGGGGATTTTGGTTGACCCTCAAAAGTCTGAATTTGCCTTTTCTTCAAGTTCTGCTGGGGTACAACAATGCACCTCTTTTTCTCAGGTCAACTGTCTTACCCTCTGCAATTGTCAGGTCAGCTTTCTTCAAGGGAAGGGCTACTTCTGTGCTACTTGCTTAGTGTGCTTGTATCTGTGTTCTGAGTCCTCATTCATTTTTCTTACTAGCCTTTGTGCATCCGTCTTCTAAATGCTGTGCAGAAGTGATTATATGGGCAGCTTCAACCTGGAGCATCAAAATTGGGGTAATGTTGGAGGGATCTTTTACTGGCCCTTGCCAGTTGATTGAACAGTGTGTTAAGGAATGCGAAGTGCTAAGTAGATTGCTTTGTACGACTAACATTTTTGCTGTCAAAGCAGCCTTTGAAAACTCTGAGCATGAGACCCAAACTACAAAGGGCAACAGAGTGTTTCAAGGAATCGGAATGTTTCAGGTTGGATGGGACTTCAGAAGATCTTTACTGCAACTGCCATCTCAAAGCCAGTTCAGCTGTGAGGTCAGGCCAAGTTGTTCAGGGCTTTATCCAGTTGGGCCTTGAAAACCTCCAAGGATGGAGAGTATCAAGCCCCTCTGGGCAGCCTGCTGCAGTGCTTGATTGTCCTCGTGGTGAAAAAGGTTTTCCTTGTGTTCAGTCAGAACGTTTCATTTCAATTTATAAACACTGTTCCCTGTCTGCCCACCCTGTCCACCCCTGTGAGGAACCTAGCATTATTGTCTTGAAAACTTTCTCATAGGGTTTAATAATGTTCAAAGTAATTGTTTTCCATTGTTTGCTCATGAATGACTGCTTGTACTCTGTTTAATTTTAGATAAATCCAGGACAGATCTGGAACAAGTACCTAAGGTATGGTTCCTGTGCACTCTAAGGCTTTATAAGGATTTCTCACATGTAGTCTTGAATATATGAATGTACTTTCTTCTTTTGTAGAAATTTTTTCCAAGCTGATTACTTGAGCTGATTCTCAATAGGATCTGCAGTGCTCAGAATTTAAAAAAAGAACAATCTACTTTTTCTTTCTTTTTTTTTTTTTGTTGTTGTTTTGGTCTTGATTTTTCTTTTACTTAAAGTAGAATACAAATGCCATTACTATTTTATCTTTAATAGTTGAAATCTCAGAGCTGGGCAAAATTAGCCACTCTGTGTTCTAGGAGAAAAGGGAAGCTGAAGAGTTTGATAGAAGCTTGAATATTGCATATTGTACAACTTAGCATTAGGTTTAACTCCTTGAATCCTTGGGCAAAGCCCTCTTGCATATATGCTTGCAGCATATATGATGTGGGTTTTTTCTGACAGGTTGACAAGACACAACTCCAGATTCCATTTCAGTCTGAGTAATTTTTTCTAGTACATTAAGAAGTCAGCGTGTTAATACGGGTCAGCATCTCTGTGCCAGTCGTGTAGACTGTTACTTGAATAGCTGTCACTGCAATGTTTAAAATCCTGGAAACAAGAATGTTTGAGTGTGGTGTGATGCTATGTTGAACCTTTTAAAATTACACTTCATAAATACAGGGAAAAGGGTACTACTGTCTGCGTGGAAGCTCAAGGTTTGTACCAGTTTTGTCAAGTAAAAATGATGTTATCAGAGGGAATTTTAGATTAATAGCACTCTGAGATGTGTACTTAATGTTACATGATACTCTTTCTGTGACCAGCGCGTTTGCTGCATTGTGCTAAAGGAGATCAGCTTGAGGCTCTGTTCCCTCCCAGGCAACACTTGCTGCACCCTGGCAGCTGGCTGGATCCTCAGTCTGGTAGAAGTTATGGCCCCGGAAATGAGCAGATCAGCAGTAGGATGCCCCTGCTATTGAAGAACATTTGCTCTGGTCCTTTGGAGGACCCACCTGCAGTTTAATGCTGCCTACGTTTTCACACTCAGGATGTTTAGATCACCTTGGGTGCTTGATAACATACGTAATTTTGGAGCTGTGCCTTCCACTTTGAGGAAGATAAGACTTTGTCAGATCACACAAGCTTTTAAGGTGTAAAGTAAATAGGTTGTAAAGCCTGGAATGAATTTGTTTGCCTGGATAAATGAAAATTCAGGTTTTGAAAATCAACAATGTCCCTGTTAGCTTCATGAGACAGGAGTTGTGTTTAACTGGGGACGAAAATGCAGGGGTGAGGGAGGTGCATTTATTTCTTTTGTTTTTCTGTTTCAGATTTTTATGAAACCAGATTTTGCCTTGGAAGATTCCTTAACATTTAATGCCGTTTTACCATGGTCTCATTTTAGTACTGCTGGTGGAAAAGGAAATCGTGATGCAGCTTCCTCCAAGTTACTTCAAGAAAAGGTACAACTTTGATACAAGATGTTGTTATCCATTGCAGCTGTTACTACAAAGAAACTCCATTGCTGCTGTTCTGTACTGTTTGTTGAGGCATCACTGTTGTGGGCTTTGTTTTATCTCATTTTACATCAGGCTGCAGATTGCTAGTAGACGATGCAGGAAGCATCTTACTGAAAGAGAATTTTTTTTCCCCTGCTAAATAAATCTACCTATCAAATCTGGAAAAAGAATCTGTATATGGTATAATAACTGGCTCTTTATAAAAACTTAGTGAAGCAGGTATGTATTGAGAACTTCATAGATGTGGAGCTGTTTGTTAGGGAAGAAGAGTAATTCCACAAGAAGAGAAAGCTAAAGCTTGTACACTGTCTGTTAAGGCTATTGCTTTCTCACATCTCAGGAAAACTCCAGATTCAAGGCACAGTGGTTTCTGTGCTAAAAGAAATACTAAATCCTGAGGTTTTGTATGTCAGGAGCTTCCTCTTACCTTTTGTTGTCATGTCATCTGCACTGATCCATTTTTGCATTTCACAAAGGACTTGAGTGCATTGGAGAGCATGAAAGCAGAGCTGTTTCTTTCCTGTTGGAAACAGTAGTTTTTACTTGGTCTTTTTAATTATTTTTTGTTAGTTGTGTAGAAAATCCCATAATGAATCATTTTTATGGTACAAATACCCATAAGATGCTTATAGAAAATCTACACAATTTTGGAGTCTGTTTTCTAACTTTAACCTACCAAAGCTTCTGGGAACTAGGGGAGAGGAGAAAAAAAAAATTAGTGAGTTGCCTTAAGAAAAAATAACATGGGATCTTCTGGAAGATGTTTCCGAATTTCCAGGAGTTAGTCTTCCTGCTCTCCCTCCAGGTCAGGAGGAAGAGACAGGCTCTGCTGGAGGCTAACTTGATCTTTCATTGGGTTGTCCTCCACACGTAAAGTTGGAGGAGTAAGTCTTTGGAGTTTCTTGTGGCAGTTAACGTTTGAAGATGAAAAAGCAGCGTCTGGCATATGCTTTAAACTCACAAAGTGTGCCTGGGAGCAGCAGGGTGGACACTCAACATGAACTTTGAGTGAAGGAGACCCAGAGCCCTCTCTGATGCAGGAAGTGAAAATAAAACTTTGAATAGCCGTGAGACATGCTGCTTTGGAGAGGTGATACAAATCCCTAAACAGCGTTCTGTTGCCTCCAAAGCCACATGCCTGGCAAATTATTACACTGCTTCATATTACTGAAATGGGCCTAGATTTTTTGTTTTACTTTTTAAAGAGTCTGAACTGCTTAAGGTTTATACTTATCATGTGTAAATAGGCACCCTGCTGCCATAAATATGCTTAGCTCCAGGCACCATTTTTCAACAGGATTTTGAAAACCCTGCCTTAAGCACACATGCTTGGGCTATTAGTGCTTTTGGACTGCTGCTGATTTACTTAAACAATTTCCCCTGATGTTTTTCTCTTTCTTACTTCCTTCCATGTCTTGCCCCGCATTGGGATTGTAAGCTCTTTGAGGCAGGTACTATCATTTCGTTCTGTTTGTTCTACTTCGCTTAGCATAGTGAAGGGACTTGGGGCATCTGATTGGTACAATTGCATAAATAAATTATCATAATAACCCCTTCTTTGATCCCTGTGTCACAGTCTGTCTCAGCTTTTCTTGTGGACTAGGTGTGTCATAGCTGTTTGGAGGATGTTTTTGATGAAACATATTACAAAAAAAGATGGGTTTGCATATTGTATAAATCCTCACCGTTAAATACATGCAGGATGAAAATAACTATAAGAAGGAAACATCCTCCAGCTGATTTTCTTTCCATCTCTGGATGGGCCTTTTGAAATTCAGCATGAAGTTTAAGTGCTTGGCACCTCTTAGAACCAGATCATGTGAGTATTAGAATTCAGATGAGCATCCTAATGCCTCAGTCCTTTGAGTTTGCATATTCAGCATAAGCCAGAACACAGAGCTTTTACAGCTCAAATAATCAGGCCAACCCAGTGGTCTGGTAAGTGTTTGACATAGAGAATTTGAATTTCACGTTCTAAAAGTGTAGGCATACTCTTTCTCAGGGAGTCCCACAGTACCAGCGCACATGAAATACACTTAATAGGAACTCCAACTGGTGGACAAAAAATAACTGCAGCCAGAGATATCCTGAGGATTTTCCTACAAAGAAGAAGCTGCAGCCTTTTAAATGAACAGAGCCATTCCAAAACCATGTTGTCATCAAGTGCAGTTGGGCTGCATCTTTAGCAGCTTCAATGACCCGAAGAACATAGCCTAAGTTCTTACTTGCAAGCCAGTATCCAGAGCTGTCTCCTGGTTAATGGCCATATTCTAACAGTGTGAACGTGCAGCTGTGTGGTACAAAAGCTTGGTTATTTTAAAATTGTTTGGTTTTTTACCTTGTAATTTTCAAGCAGGAGAGGCATCAAGTCAGCCTTCCCAAAGTGATTTTGAGCCTATTTAAAAACAAATGATCAAACCACAATGGGTAGTTATTTGCTTGCTAATCTGACAAAAGGTTTTAATTTTTATTAGCAAAATTTCCTCATGAATCAATAAGACAAATACCCGGAAAGTGTATTTGCATGGTGATTAACTTGCAAAGTCATAACAACACTTCATTTTTCCTCCTTACTCCTCTTTTTAGCTGAGCCATTATCTGGACATTGTGGAAGTCAATATTGCTCATCAGATTTCTCTGCGCTCAGAAGCATTTTTTCATGCAATGACCTCTCAGCATGAGTTGCAGGACTACCTCAGGAAAACCTCCCAGGCTGTAAAATTACTTAGAGAAAAAATCTCCAAAATTGATAAAGTAATGTGTGAAGGATCACTTCGAGTTTTAAGACTATCACTCACCAGAAATAACTGTATAAAAGCATACAATAAATTGAAGTTAATGGCTACTGTACACCAAACACAGCCCACAGTGCAGTTGCTGCTGTCCACTTCTGAGTTTGTTGGAGCTTTGGACTTAATAGCAACAACACAGGAGGTGTTACAGCAAGAGCTTCAAGGCATTCACAGTTTCCGGTAGGTAACCATCTAGGTAATTAATAAAATGCAAGTAGAGCTAGAATGTGTTGAGCACATTATGTTGGCTGAAGGGGTTTGTTGCTTTACCTTTGTTTGCTCATTCTTAGAGGGCATAGTACAAAAGGTAGAAAATGTAAGTGTGGCGTAAGCAGAGTGACTAATGCATGTATGTGCCAGAGATTTTTTTTTTTTAGGGAAGGATGAATTTTTAACATCTAGATGCTTTGTACTCCGTTCTTGTCTGCAGGTGTTTTACTGGTGCAGGGATGAGAGCCAAGTAGTGGCTGGACCTTCATCTTGCAGGGCTTGTAGCCCATAGCTGAGAGATGGTCTGCAGTCCTCATTCATGCAGCACCCCAGAGATACAGTTCTTGCTACACAGCTCCACTCCAAAGCCCCTGTTGAGTGACTGACCTAGGCATGAGGCGTTACAGGAACATGCACGGACCATGTGTTGATTAGGTCAGCTTCCAGCCTGTGCTTGTGCTGGAGGAAGCTTTGCAACCAAAAGCCAGTACAAAGCTGTCAAACCACGGCTCAAAGTGTGGTCTGAGGTTCACAACTGGTCAGATGGGACACGTTCAGCAGTGTCTGCTCTTGTGGAGAGCTGTATTTACAGTGACCAGGGAGCGCTTCCTCTTGCTCTGTCTGACTGAGAAATCCAGTTCTGTGAGCTGCTGAAATCGGGAAGGGAAGAAACAGTGGGAAGGTGCTGCCCAGGCTGCTGTTGCTACTGGTTTTTCACCCATGTTTGCTGCAGTGATGGGATTTAGTGAGTCCAAGGTCCCGTGCTGGCTGCTTCTGTTAACAGTGGATGCTTAGAGCTCAACTTGGGAGATGCCGCTGCACTGGGCAAGGTCCTCTGTGATATGCAAGAGTATTAATACAGTAGAATCCTTTTAGCTGATGTAAAATAAACCATTGTAATGGTCATCTAAAGGATAGAAGTGTTGTATGCAAAGCTGCCACTGTGGTATGATGCTAGCAGAAATAGCATATGTTAAATCGGCTCTGAGACTTGCATAAGCCGGTTGAGGTGCTGTATACTTAGTTTTATAAGTATAAGTATCATCCAGTTTTATAAGTATAAGTATCATCCAGTTGATGCTGGGAGGGGAGGTTTTTCTGTTTAGAGGTTATGTGGTTCCTGCAACCTAGTGGTTCCCAGCTTGCATAATAAAAGCATGATCGTTGCTCAGTAACTGTAACATGAATGTTAAGAACGTTAGACAGTTACTACTCTTGTCTGTTTGTTCTGATGACCTCTTCTTCTAACACTACTGGTTTGGAAAAAGACTCAAATTTTATGTAGAAAAGATCTCAGAAAAAGTCTTTAAATATATATATAAAAGTAAATACTTTTTTTTTTGAAAGAGCTAATAAACTATTGGGAGGAAAGCTGTTAGTCTTTTAGCTTAAATGGTCCATCTTCAGACACCTCAGCACAATTTCTTTCCTCTTTACTGTTCCTACTCTCAACCACTTGATTATGGTCAAGGACTTGACTCAGTCCTTGACTGAGTCACTTCTGTATTTACCTAGATGGCAGTGAGTGTACTTTACAACCCTGTGACAACATCAGTCAGAATTAGTTGTGTTTTGCAATCGAGTAACCTACGTGCTACATCAGTAGGGAGTGCAATTCTGTTGTCATTGTGGTTGGTATACGTGATGTCCAAAGAATGTGCCATTATTTTAAAATTACATTCAGATGTGGAACATATTTCCAGGTAAATAAATATTCATCTTGTCTGTAAAAAGCAATTTCTATGAATAATGCTTAGTTGGTTGCTTTGGTAGAGTTAAAAATAGTGATGTGAGTGATAAAAAGCAATTTAAATGCAACCTATATCATCACCCCCACCAGAGATGCAGATGCAGTTGAGAAGTCCAGCACGGTTGTTCCCATGTCTCAAAATGGCCTGTGTGTATAGTGTGTCTGGAGAAATAATGTGCAATGGGAAGATGGAGATCTTGGTAAAACTTCTCAGTAGAATGTTATGTTTCTAAATATAAATAAAATTTTAAAAAATCTAAATTGATGCCATATGCACACTTGAGCTTTTTCCAAGAAATACCAAAGGGATGTTCTTGTTTTGTTCTGAGCAAGAATGCTGCAATTGTCAAGTGAGTTAAATACCTGATTTATTTGAAGAAGAGATTAACTTCTAAATCAGTATCTCATTTTTCTAAGTAATTAGTGTATTTTTTTCCCCTAAATAATTTTAATCTTATTTAAAAAAATAAAAAAACAAACTTGTTGCTTTAGTGTTGTACATGACAGCTTGTAGAACTTGCTTTTGAATAGACAGCTATAAATTCAGTCATCTCACAGAATCATTCAATATAAAGCAGTAACAAAACTACTCAGATCATCCATACACAAAACTTTTTCTTATTGTCATGCTATATGCAGAAAAACATGTAGTTTTCTTTTAGTTATAGCAAAAAATGAGAGCACCTTAATGGTGCTGTGAAGTAATAAATTGGTGTCTTTAGGTTAATATCTCCAGTGATTACATTTATTAGTCATAACTGTATGAGTATTGTTTGCTACTACTATAGGATAGAATTAAAGTTGTAGAGCTCTTTAAGCTTTTCAGGTTCATCTTTTTAATTTTACAAAAAAAATTAATACTTGCATGTTACCTAAATTACAAATCTGCACTGCCAGTTTTTACATTGCTTTCACAATCCCTGTTGGGGTGATGGAGATGTGATGTTGGGTTTTTTTGCACAGGTATGCTGGGAAACCACACTTTTATACTTTTTTTTTATATACAGTAAAACACAGATACTTGGAAAAATAGTTCTCATCTGTGCATTTTAAAAGAATTTTTACCCTGAACTCATAATTTTACGTAAGAGAATTGTAGTATTCAGTCATTGAAAGGACCTGATGTGTGACTGATACCTCTTAAGAGAGATCATTGCCAAGGCATTTTGCTGGAGTATGAATTAAGGTTTGACTTATTTCTACGTGTTTCAGGGTGGAGGGATTTTTTTTGTTGTTAGGGGCTAGAACATCTCGGGCGAAATGGTGGCAGCAAATGCTGGGAACCCTTCTTGGACGTTTCCATACTTGAGATGTAAGAGGGTAGGTTACGTTGTGTTTCAATGTAGTTAAGCACAGTTAAAGAAATAATTTACTGAAGAGCATCTTTGTGCTTACCTAAGTTGAGAGGCTTTGCGTTGTGGGTGCTAGTCCTGCAGTAAGTTCTGCAACTCCAGTCTTTACATTGCAAATGGTAATCTTAAATTTTGTCTGTTGAGTTTGTTTTGAAATATCCATGATGCAAGTGGCTTGGATGTTTTTCTAGAGGCCAGTTTTGCTTAAATACTCATTTGATATGTGTCCACTCTGTCCACTCCAGCCAATACTTGACCAACAATTTCAAAAGCAGACACATCCCTGATCATTTTAAAATTAAAAAAATTAATCCACTCAAGTCAGATCCAGCAAGATTTGTTCAATTCAGCTCAGTGCTGGCCTTGTGGGCTTCTGCAGGGAGGAGCTACCCTGGTTGGTGCTTCCTCGCACCCTGGCGCTGACTTTGCCCTAAGTGGGCTGTGAGGCCAGATCGTGTGGGCTTTGCATTGGTACAGCAGTGCTCCTACTGGGGAGTCCTAAGATGTTTTTGTTGCTCTATGCAAGCTAGCGGTCTAGCAACACCAGCACTGAAGTAAAGCCAGTGAGCCATGCAAGTTCATTTTCCCCATTTTGTATCCAGGTTTATCTAAAATACCACAGCTCCTGTTAATTCTCATTGACAAAGTGTCTATTTCTTTTTTCTTTTTTTTTTTTTTAAAGTCTGATTTTTACAGATACTTCATGCTCTCTCAGCTGTCAGTAGAAGCTGGAAAAGCCTGCAGTATTTGACATCTCTGAAATTCCCACTTTTAATTTTACTCTGCTCAAAGTTTCTCTAGCTACACAACTTTTAAAGACTGGTTGACATTTCTGATGTGAGAAATTCCCTTGTGGTTTTGTGTGACAACAGTCTGCAAAATGTGGTTTAAAATCTGCAATACATGGAAAAAGTATTTTTCATTTAGAGTAGCATAAAATTGGCAAATTTGAAAACTATTCTGTGTTCTCAGAAAGCCATCAGGTCATGTAAGCTATTACTGTATCTCAGTCATGTGAATTAAATCTGTCACCACATTAAAAGCTCAAATGTTTGAAGTGGAAGAACTTGCAGACTGATGAGCTGAGGGACTGGATGAGCAAAAGTAGTATTCTTTCTTTTTTAACACCTATATACTGACAAGCACTGAGTATTCTTGGTTCTGGTTCACTTCATTGGGAAGAGGGGTACTTGGCACCTTCAAAAAAAAAAAAAAAAAAAAAAAAAGCCCTACATCCAATTTTTACCCTCCATCAATATTCAAGTCCATATGTTTTGCTGCAAGGTGATGGTGCCCCTGAAAAATGCATGGTTTCAGCTGCTCTAAGAAGTGAAAGATTTGAGCCCCCCATTAGGCCAGTGTTGATTGCATGGAAATTACCTACTGGGTGGTTATTTTCTTCAGCTGTGAACTAATGATTCATTTTCAGGTTGATTATTTAGCTCATATCTCAATGGCTGTTTTTCTTAGGCATCTTGGCTCACAGCTTTGTGAACTGGAAAAGCTGATAGATAAAATGATGATTGCAGAGTTTTCAACTTATGCTCGCAATGATTTAAATAGACCCCTAGAAGATGATTGCCAAATTCTAGAAGAGGTATGTCTGTTACTGAAATAAACTGTCTGATGAATATGTTTGCATCTCTAACACACTTAATTAGCACCAACTAATTCACTCGGGCCCCTAGTAGCAACATTATAATTTTATACTATTTTTCTTCTTGTCCAAACCCCACCCCCTCCCTTTTTTTTGGTGCTTGATAAAATTAAGTAATTCTAACTAAACTCATGGAACTGTGATCCAGTCCTACTTTATTTTTTCAAAATAATCAGATCTCTTTTCTCTGATTAAATGTATACGGAGTTCACTTCATGAACCTCAACGTGTAAGTGGAAAAGAACATGGACTGTCCTATCTACTTGACTGTAAAAATTCAGTTTTGCAGTGAAAGCTGATAGTTGCATGTCGTTCTCATTCTGTCTCCCTATGCATTTATGGGTGTTTGTATCAAGCATGTGGTTGCCCTAAATACAGGCTTCATTTGCAGTATATATTCCTCATTCCTTTGAAGACTGTAAACTTATGAATATTAAGCTGTTGTGATTGTTTTCTAGCCAGGAAATTTTTTTTCTGGATTTTGCCTGTACTAGTCTTCAGTAATTGCTAGACCCCATTAACTGTTTAGTCTTGTTTCATCCATGGGTTTCATGAAATACAGTGAATGGCAATAGCACTTAAATACTCCCATTTCTGCCCTATATTTTCTTCCCACATCTGTGCCGGAACATGATAGATTCTTACTTGTGCTGGTACAATTGTATTTAGTGTCATTCTTGTTCAGGGTAAGGAAATTCACTAATCTTTAGAAATATCCATATTTTTAAGCACAACTGAGGAGCAGGCATGAAAGGGGCTGGGAGGAAGGGACTTTCTTAGCTGGTGTTGCCACAGGGAACTTTGTATACTTAAAGTATGGCATTGGTCTCAAGGCACTGGACTGAGCTGAATACTATTCACCATTGTTTCTTTTCCTCACCTTGACATTTTTAGTGTGTTTTTTATTTTCTTTTTTTTTTTTTTCTTGATAGGAGAGACTTGTATCACTAGTATTTGGACTTTTAAAACAAAGAAAGCTAAATTTTTATGAAATATATGGAGATGAAATGATTATCACTGCAAAGAACATCATTAAACAGGTAAGCCAAATACTTCTAATGTATCTGACAAGGTTGTCCTTAGAAATTATTTTTTAAGTAATTAAGAACAATTCTGATGAAGTATTTGGTGGCCAATGGTCTCTCATTTAGAGCACCTGAGCTTGCAGACACTGAGGACTTCCTGAAGCACAGAGGTCTGTTTGCAGAAAACACCTTCTGGAAGGAGTAGGTAGCATAAGCAGATCACAGCTTTCTCTGTATAATTACCATTGTTCTGAATACCCTGATTTTAGCTTAGTTTGTTTCTTTCTCTTAATGAAATGGTTTTCCCAAATAGTATAGTTGTGTCATAACACTCTGTTTAAAAAAAAAAAACAAACCAAAACCCACGACCAATCCAAAACCCAAAAAAACCTCCACCAAACCCCCAAACCACACCAAAAAGCGCTTCCCCCTGTCCCAACCCTCCAAAAACCAATCAAAACCCCCAAGTTATTTGTGTAAATGCATAAAAGAGAATCAAAAAGTTGTCAGTTGAAACAGTAGAATTCCCAACAAATGCTACAGAAAACATGGCTTGCCTGAATGTTAGCACAGGCTTAGCATAGGCACATGATAAAAGGTTGGAAAACATCCTTGCCTCTTTCTAAGAGAGCAAGGTGAAGTAATGAGGAACGTAGAAGTAGTGCTAGCCTGTAAAAATTATTTAAAAAAATTAATTCTTGACCACATTGCTGCTGCTGTTTGCCATTTAGGGTAGCTTATCTATCTTTTCAAACCAAGAAGTCTTTATAGATAAAACCAGCTAAAACCAACACATGCACAAAGTTTAGATGACTTCTTTGGGGAAAAATACATGGAATGTTTTGGACAGTAACATGATGGCTTTTGTTTGCAAACAAAAACTAGAGTAACAAACTAACAGTTTGTTACTTTTAATTTTACTTGTCTTGTTTGTTTGCATGCATGTGTGAGAATATTGTGCAAGGGGTGTTTTTCTCCCCTAAAGATATGTGATTGTTTCAGGAGTCATGTTCTGATGTGTTATGAGCCACCTCTGATTTGTATCTCAAAGGCTGGGAGATAGTCAGGTGGTGGGTTTGCCAGCAGATGAAGACAGTCTCTCCTGTCCTCATAGTATAGCATGAGGTATAGTATAGCTGTGTTGTGAACCAGGTTGGGAACCTGTTATTATCATAATTATTTATTATTTTGCTTTAAGCCAGATTGGGTCCCCCAATCCATGTCACATTGCGGCCCCGTGGTTCTGTTGATCTGTTTGTGCAGAGTTGGGTATAGATAACACAGGTTGATGTTGCTAGTGAATATTGTGGCAGAATTAGAAAATAATAGACAGTGATATGTGCAACTGTACCACCATTTCTTGTAAGGATTTGGCAGTGATTCACTTCTTCACGATGATTCTCTTTTTCATGTGACCTGAATACAATTTAAATGGAGTTAAGCACCCCTGCCCCTAACTGCTTGTTCTCTCCCCACCTGAAAGCGATGGGATGCTGGGCTGGGTCATTGCCCTGATCCCTGAAAGATCAGCAGGGTGGGAGTGAGCACTACTTTCTAGTTATTATTGCTGTATTACTGTAAGCTTGGGAAAACAAGAGCATACTGCTCTGGGCCTTCACATAAGGTGTAACACACCCCCACACAAAAAAAAAGCATGAATGAATAACACCACGATAAAACTGTTCATCTGCTCAGCAGTCTCCATTGGCTTTTCACTTGCCTGTGTCAGCAGTCATGAGGAGACATTTTTTCCTTTACGTTGTCCTTTCAGTTGGATAATTGGCAAGAAGTGCTCCCTGTTTTCCTGCTCACTCTTGATTCCTATTCTGCTGGGAATATTTGTCTTTGTGTTGGGTTTTTCAGGTGTCACCTCTGCTCAGTAATAGATGAGGTTTAATCAACTTCTAACGTAAGTTTCTGTTGAATAGGGAAAATAGATGGGATCAGAGTATTTCTGTGTGGTTTGTGTAACACGTTTGCATTGAGGGCTATTGTCTCAACTCTTCAGGATATTTTTCCTTAAATGAAACTGTTTCCTTCCCTTGCCTCAAATGTGCTTCCTGTTCAAATGCATTGCTGCTGGGCTGTTTTGGGCAGTACTTTAGTAGCTGCCAGGCAGGTGAAAGAGCAGAGGTTTGTAAGCACTGAACACGCTGCATGGTTCAAGAACAAGGTCTGCTTTTAAGAAGCTTCTGTACTGACACCACTGTTATTCAAAGCACAGGTAAAATCCATGTAGCTTGAGATGGTGGCCATCAGTCACCATTTGGATTGTACATATTCACTTAAAGGCAAGATGAGTTTGTCCACTCATTTGATCAGGTTATTGATTGACATTTGGGAGAAAACCCCAGTTCAATCTAAATGGAGTCGATTTGTACCTAGGGCTTACAAGTAATGTGAAAAGAGATCAGTGAACAAATTGCCAGAAAACAATAGATATGTTTCGAATGAAAATTGATCATTCTTGACACCTAAAGAAACTGGTCAGTTTTGTATGTACTAGTTGAAGAACAAATGTTCTTTGAGGAAAGGCCACTGTGTAGCAATAAAGATGTGGAAAAATCTAGGGACAGAGGCAGGTAGTGTGCTGGAGGTGAAGAGAAGGGCACACAGCAAAATACCATGTCTGCTAGGAGGGCAGCTGAAACTGGGTCTGCCTTAACAGTTGAAATTACAGGACTGTAGGGGTGTGCTTCCATGCTTCCCTCCTGCTGTTCCTTCCAGGTTAGGCTAGTTCCCAAGTTCCGTATTTAAAGCTGAAAAGGATGTCAACCAACATTTTCCAAAGCCAGTCACTTTGGAAAGGGGAAGAATATGGCTTCTATTCTTAAGTACCTGACTTGAGAGACATTTTTGAATTGGTGCTTAGCATCCATACTCAGAAAAGCAGATCTCTTTGAGATGGAGTCAGTGTGCCCTCCAGAGCTTAGTACACAGTTGGGAATGTTTTGATCATCTGTATTTTGCAAATAGATGTTTGGGTGGTTGGCTTTGGGGGTTTCTTTGGGGGTTTTTGTTTGGTTGGTTTTAGAGAAACAAGTTGTTAAATGATACAAATATGTTTTTCCTTTATTATTTTACTTTTCCTTGTTTAACTTGAGGTTTATTGTGTGTGTTATGAAACTCAGCAGCAGTTAGAAGGAAGCTAAGATCTTTTTTTGTTTTTTTCCCCTTTAAATTTGACAGTGTGTGGTTAATACGGTATCACAGATAGAAGAAATAGATACAGACGTGGTTGTTAAGTAAGTATACAGCCAGATATTTTTTTTTTTTGGTGGTGGGTGGGGATAGGAGATGGATGCTTTTTAGCACAGATAAATTTACCATTCTAATTTGTGCTTAAATTTCCCTATAATTCAGGATTATCCATCTCTTTTACCTTAAACTTCTGCTTCTGTCTGCCTCTGTGAGAATATTGTGTGTTCCCCTTCTCATTCAGATTCTAATGTTACCTTAAGCTTACCTTTAAAATAAATACTAAAATTCTGTGCACCTCATTGCATGAAGCATAAACTACTATATTTAGGCATATGTCTCTTAAATACTTGAAGGCATTCCCTGTTGTCATAATCTGGGATTTTGTATGAAAACGTGTCAGTAGTTTCAGTACCTCCTGCATGAACGAGAATAGGAGCTATCCAGGGAGGAGATCAGACAGCTTCACACCCAAGAAATGGGTGGGCAGGAACCTCACAAAGCCCAGCAAAGGCAAATGCTGAGTTCTGTGTCTAGGAAGGAGCAACCCCTTGCAAGAGGAGAGGCAGGAGCTGCTTGGCTTCAGAGCAGCTTTGCAGGGTAGGACCTGGGGGTCCCTGGTGGAGAACTGGTTGGCCATGGACCAGCAGTGTGTCATTACAGCCACAGCCTGGGCCACGTTAGCACAGGCAGCAGGTCAAGGAACAAATAAGACAGGTCCTGCAGAGGCCACTGGGGACTGAAGTATGGAGCGTAGGAGGAGCAGCCAAGGGAGCTGGGTCCCCCTCCAGCCTGGGGAAGGCAAAACTCGGGGGAGAACTGCCCACAGCTACCCCATGGGATGGGGTAGCTGTAGACAGAGCCAGGCTCCTCTCAGAGATGTGCGGGGGAAGGATGAGGGGCAATGGGCACAAGATGAAAGGTGAGAAATGCTAGTTGAGTCTTAGGAAAAATATGTTCCCTGTGAGGATGGTCGAACACTGGAACAGTGGCCCAGAGAAACTGTGAGATCTCCGTCGTGGGACATGGTGAAGCCTTGACTAGGCAGAGCCCAGAGCAACCCAGTCTAGTTGGACCTGTATTGAGCAGGGGTTGGACAATGCACCTCCAGAGGTCCCAGCTCCAGAGGCCCTTGCCAGCTTCTGCTTTTCTGTAGCTTCCTGATTCATTTGGCTCGACAAAGGGTTACCCCAAGATAATAAAAACAGACCAGCTGATAAAGCAAAGTGAGAGGCAGAATCTGTACAGGATTCATACCCAGACTGGGAAAAGACTGGGCACAGGGTCATTTTTAAACATTGGGTATTTGGTCACTATTCTCCAATGTTTACTATTCTGCTGTTGGGTCCTAACTGTATTACAGGGTTTAATTTTTGTTCTATCAACAACTTTTCTGCCTTTTGCCACAGACAGCTGACTTGCACTTTAATAGCAGAAGTGGTCTCATTGCAATGCAACAAAATGGACTTAATAACAAGGCTTTTGTAACACTTACAAAATATTTTCATTTAATTTTTTTTGTAAATTTTGGTTTTTCCCACATGATTTGTGAAAATGTTATTAACCCCCCCTCCCTTGTTGGTAACACATACTTATCCCAGGGAAAAGAACATTATGCCCTGGAAAAAACTAAATGGTAAATATGAGGCTTTCATTTTTTTAGTATGATCTATTTTTATATAACTCCTTCCCCATTCCACTTGCGTACGTTGTGTTGATCGTGACTGTTTTTCAGGTGATGTCTGTTGTTCTGCCAGATAAGTCTATGCAATTTTCCTTATATTTACAATTCCATTTAAAGCATGTTTTTTTTCTTTATGTGCCAGTGGGCATCATGGCCAGTAAACATTTGCTGTTTACTGAATACTGCTCTTTTTTTTAGGCTTGCAGACCAGATGAGGATGATGAATTTTCCTCAGTGGTTTGATTTACTGAAGAATATTTTTTCTAAGTTTACTATCTTCCTCAAGAGAATAAAGGTAAGACAGTCATTTACCAAGAGCTTCACGTAGTTCAGACGTGAAATGGAATGAAGTTACTTTCCACTTGAAGTCTTAAGGTGTTGGTTTTACTTATAGAGTTCAAATTTTATATTGAAAGAATGGGACGTGAATATCGGCATCCAGGGCAAAAATGATTAGTGCTAACAAAGAGAGCAGTGGGAAGGAAAATAATACCTCTTGTTGCATGATTACATCCATTTCAGGCTGTTAGGGATTAGGGCAGAACTTTTGTATGTGTTAGATTGCTCCAAATGAGGTTTCTTTCACTGTTCTCACAAATGTCTGGTATTAGTTACCATCAGACAGACGGGTCTGCCTCCAAATGCTAATTACACAATAGAAAATAAAGCCAGGATTTAGTTTAATTTTGTGGGTAAAAGAAAATCTCTTTCTAGGACAAGCTAGTGGCACAGGGTTTTGGGGTTTTTTGTAATAAAAGTTATATTTGATTCTAGGCAACGTTAAATACTATCCGTAGCGTGGTTTTCTTGGTTCTAGACAAGAACCAAAAAACCACAGACCTGGAGGACACCTTACAAAAGAACTCTGCTAAAGACAGTACGGTGGACACAGAAGTGGCTTACCTGACTCATGAAGGCATGTTTATAAGCGATGCATTCAGCGAAGGGGACCTCCCGCCTGTAGCAGCTGACACTACCTCTCAAAGAAACACTTCCCCTAACAGTGAGCCCTGTAGCAGTGATTCGGTCTCTGAACCAGAGTGTACTACCGATTCCTCATCCAGCAAAGAGCAAACATCGTCTTCTGTCACTCCAGGGGGAGTAGAGATGATGTAAGTAAATGTGCTGCCTGGCTTCACTTTGCAGCATGTCAGAAACAAGGTGTTAGGTGCAGGTGGTTGTTTCTGATGATACAGTACAAAAATTGCTCTGAAGGAATGTGCTTTCTAGGTAAGTAAAATGCAGCACCATTGCCCCTAGAGACTGCCATCAGACTGCACTGTCCCCAGCTCACCTTTGTTTCATTTATTTGCCTTGTTGTCACCTCTATATGTAGTGGTATGGGGACTGATTATGTCACTTACAGAAAAGGACCCCTTCTCCATCTGTTCTGCTGGGGACCCCACTTCTGTAGGGAGCAGGAGAGATGTATGTCTAGCCTACATGAAAGACATTCTTTGTTATGCCTTTAGCTGGCAGAGGCATCTCTGTTCCCTGTTCATGTTCTCGGTGGCTATTTTTTCTGGGTTGTTTTGTTTTTTTTTTTAAGCTGGCTTCATGGAATACACCTTGATACATTCTAGAGAAAAATCTGCTGTTCATTGTCAACTATTTGACTTGCATGGTTAAATAAATCCATCTGGGTGTGTTGGTACCATAGGCAGTGCTTCCCTGTGGTGCTCCACACTCCACAGTTGTAACCTTTTTGGCAACCTTTTATGCATACCTTATTTATGGCTGGAAATCAGAGCTAACATGTTAAAAGAACCAGGCATAGTGTGTGTGGGACTCAGGCATGAGCCACTTCAAAAGCCAGCGTGTCTGGATACAGAGTTTTGTGAACCAAAATTGAAATACCACTTGTTAACCAGCTGAAAGATGGAAGGTAGCAAGTAGCTTGCTCACCCTAGCTGATTCTTACTCAAGTACCCATACTTGTGTGTTGAAGCAACTGTCAGTTTTGATAGAGACCTTCCTCCTCAAATCACAACGCTGGCTGAAGGAGATAGATTTAAAATAAATATGCTGTGCATAAAACAAATTCAGGCCTCTGTATGTCCGAACATCTGTTGTATGCTGGAAGAGAAATGCAATGTGAAGAGGGGTCCAGGGTTACAGTGAGGAGAAGGGAATTGGATCCCAACTGGTCTGGAGCACTTTGCCCAGTTAGCTAAAAATATACCACTCAGCTAGAGCTCTGGAGCAATAAAGTTGTTTCTGAGGCTGGTTGCATAACTGTTCTAAAATGAACTTGCTTCATCCCTCTTCTGGTTTTCTTTGTACCTCTGCTCTGTGTTTGGAGCAGGCTAATAAAATTACTCAGTTATGACAATGTTAGCCCAGTTGCTGCTCTGTAGCGTCCTGAGTTTTCTCTCTCCTCTCATACTGTCAGCCCCTTGAGCAGTCACACTGGCGCAAAAGGTTGTTATCTTAACTAATTACATGAATGGCAAAGCTGTGCTACAGGCTAGCCTCAAAACAGTAGACAAATCACAAGGCTTTTTAAAAAAGCACCAGCTTAGAAGCCTGAAGTCTAAAGAGTGAATAAAATAACTGTCTATAGATTAAGGTGGTGGGGAGTGCAGGGTATTTATTTTAGGCCTCACATTTGGATTGGAGAAAAAATGGTGTGTTTTATGTGTTGTATGCTTGTGATGCTGAAGTGTTACAGGAGCTGGGTAAACTTTAGCTCAGTAAGCATTAATAATATTTGTTGGTTAGTAATGGCTATATCATGTTTTCTCTTAGACCATTAATAGCAGTTAGCATGTAGATTTAAAACGAAATACAAGGATGTGCAGTTGTGCATTTCCTTGTTACAGGGACTGACGTGACACTGACAGCAGCTTAGAAAATCCCATCTGTACAAAGTGACTTTGGTGATTAACTGTCTGCATTTGACAGTTGCTGCAAGGCTCTTTCCTCCCTCAACCAGAAATACTGGCATATTTTTTTATAAATTGATGCTCATCTAACTGGTTCTGTCATTTGTAGGATCAGTGATGACATGAAGCTGACTGACCTGGAACTGGTCAGGCTGGCAAACAGTATACAAGAGTTGCTTTATAATGCCTCTGATATCTGCCATGATCGTTCAGTCAAGTTCCTCATGGCAAGAGCAAAGGTAAGGAGCTTGGGTCAAACTACTGTCGGTGTCTCATCCTTAACGAGAATTTACTCCACGTTACTGGATTAATGAGTGCGAGTTCTGAAATGGTCTTCGCAACTGAAATTAAGTAACTGTTCCTGCTGCCACAAGTGCTTGAGCACGCCTGTCCAGAGCACGCAAGCATTAACATATCATGTCATTGCAAGGCAATGTGAGTTTCTGCTACTTTTTTTTTTTTTTAGTGCTTTTTAATATTCTGACTTGCTGTCTCTCCATGCAGAGAATGCGTATCTATGACAAGGTAGCTGCTTGCACTGCAATCTCCCTTTTCTGTCCCAAGTAAGGTTAAATAACGTGCCTCTTAAAATAGTAGTACCCCTCAGAGGTGCTGACTAGTTATTTCTTTACATCTCTGAATTTTTGTGGTGCTATGTCTGCTTACAGTGGTTTTCTTTGCATGTAGGATGGCTTCCTGGAGAAGCTGAATTCCAATGAGTTTGTTGCTCTTTCTCGCTTGATGGAAGGCTTTATCTTAGATACTGAGCAGATCTGTGGCAGGAAAAGTATGTCCTTGCGAGGAGCACTTCAGAGTCAAGCGAATAGATTTGTGAATAGATTCCATGAGGAGAGGAAGACGAAACTAAGGTATCTCTGAGTGTAGAAGATCTTTATATTCTTACATGAATAATTTTATCAATCGTATGGCAGGCAAACACAATCTTTTGTTGCCCAGAACACTAGTAAGCCAGTTGTACTTGAGAGGGTGAAAAAAACCTGTATTAAACCCCCATTATTTTCAATCAACTTAGACATTTACCATTTTCATAACTTAATTTCTTCAAACTGGATTATTCTACAGTTACCTGAATAAGGACAGTAATAGCTACAGGGAGTACTCGGGACTGACATAGAAGGGCAGAATTGCTCTGTCTCAGAGGTAGAGTAACTTCAGGATAATCACGTCCAACTGTTAAAAAGCAAAAAAACCAAAACCACCACCAAAATACCACCACCAACCCAAAACACCTCCAACAAGACCAACAATTAAAATATAAAACCCAAACACTTGGGGAACAGCCTTGCCATTAACATACATCAAGTCTTTTTGCTTTCATCCATCAAAAGCTCTTAAAATTCCAGTATTTACACATTACTTCAGTGGCAGTGATCTCATAAGGATCTTCATTGCCTAGCGTAGTCTTTTGTCCTCTATAATAGATGGAATGAATGAATCATGAGATCTCTAGGCCGACACAGTGTTTTTCTGTTTTGCTGCTGTCAATTGTTGGGCACCTCTTTCTAATAAAGATGAAGAACATAACATTTTGGCCCACTGACTTTTTAAAAATTACTGTAGTTTTGCTTGCACAGCAGTACAGGCAGGAGAGGTGTTAAGACAAGGTATTTCATTTTCTCAGCCTTCTCTCTTTTGTGTTTAAAACTAGCCTACTCTTGGATAATGAGCGCTGGAAGCAAGCTGAAGTTCCTGCCGAGTTTCAGGATCTTGTCGATTCGGTGTCACATGGCAGAATTTCTCTCCCTGAAAAAAAACCAGCAGGTGTGTATCTTGCAGTCTTACTGTTAATTGAATTTATTATCAGCAAATACTGGTATTGAACGTTGATGGACATATTCTGACATCAGTCTTGATCTGTGTTTGCTCGCTGTCTTTTGGGGGGTATCAGAAGGAATCCGATACCTTTTTTTTTTTTCCCCCCCATCCTTTTTTTCTGTTACCAGTGTTGAAACTTCTTGTGCTGACCTTAGTAAGATTATTTATTTATTTTTTGGAAACCCATTCAAGTGTTAGCACAGGGTGGGAGCTACTTTTTTATACAAGTATTCCCAGTGTAGAGGCTTACAGTCTTTGCACAAATTCAGTCTGTCCCCAGAAAATATTCCTGAAGTGTTGCGAAGGACTGAGGAGCATGTGTGTGTGCTCAGCCCTCCTTGTGTTAAACAAAGCTTGCTCCTTTCCGCTGCTTCATCTGCCAGTTGTTCAAATGAAAAACAGCATGCTATGTGGCTGCTCATGGAAGTGAAAACTCATGTACATTCAATTATTTACCTTGCCACAGAAACCTCATATGACCTCAGACAAGTCACTTTTTTCTCCTCGTGCCCTACTTCCGCATGTGCAAAACACGAACACATAATGCGTTCTTACCTGGTGAGGGTTCTCATCCAATATTGCAGTGATGAACGTGTGTGAATAGCTAGAACAGGAAGAAATCATACATAGAGGGGAAAGAAAATGGCAATAGATGAGAAGGAAGAAAATACAGTAATGTCATGATGGAGAAACCCTGACCCCTCAAAAAAGAAATATATCGGAGAGAGCGGGCGTATTAGGCAATAATCACTCCGGTTATGAAACATGACACCAAAATATGTTCATCAACCATTGCTCTTAAAATAAACTCATACAGCTTCCTTCAAGAAGATATAAAACTGGTGGTATCAAATTTAGCATGAAAAACTGCATCAGTAAGAGCTTCTACTATGAAGCCTGGGGAAGAAGTGGTTTGAAGCTAAAAATATTAATATACACAGCAAATCATTTGAGAATGTATAGTAGAAAACCTGATGATTTTTTTCTGCTTCTACTACTTGTAACCTTTTGTATTTGAGGTTTTGAAGTCCATAATGACTGTGGGACTTTGGGGGATTTTTGATCTAAAATGCCAGCAGATAATAAAGTAACTTTACAGGTAATAATAATTATGATGGGTGACCAACTATATAATAAATACTGTAAAAGAGAACAATGCTCCAAAGATTGATTGTGGTTTTTTTTCAAGCCTTAGCAAGTGAACACTAAATTTGTAGAAACTAGCATTTTTTTGTGCTTGTTTTTAGTTCAACTAATCCCTTTTCCTTTCTTGCTAAAATGGCTAGCTACCGAAGAAAGAAAGCCAACTGATTTCCTTATTGTTGAAGGACAAAAATATGCAACAGTTGGGTAAGATGCACTCTTTTCTATTAGCAGTGGGTTAGTTGGCAAGAAGTTTTGAGTAGAACTGTGATGAATACTAACAGCTTTAGCAATCTTATTTAAATAAAAAAACCCCTCCTTCCTTCCACAGATTAGTTTCTCTTTAGTTCCCAAACAGTTACAAAACATTGCAAACTCTTCTGCACACTAAAAAGCTGTTTCTTCTCTGAATGACTAGGCTCAAATTGATGTTTTCATTTGAATATGTTTTTTCCAATTATTTCATGAAAACACGTAGTCATGAAAATATCACGTTGTCTTCATAGCACACTGTTGTTATTTCTTCCATTATAGGTTATCTCTGGCAAAAATACATGAGTACACTATTGAATGAATGTTTATCTTATTCAGAATAAGAAATAAGATATGGGCTATCTCAGTAGCTGCATATGCTATTGCTTTGGATCAGAAAGGAGTTTTTTAAAGCTGGTTGTATCAAAGACATTTTAAAATATATAACGCTCACATACTTCTTTCATTTAAAAGCATGCTGTGTTTCCAAAGGCTGTGAGGCTTAAGCATTAAATATACACGAGAGTGTTTTTGGGGAGGAAGTAAAACGTGGACATCTCACTTCCCAGAGACCTAACATCAATTTGCCCCAAACTTAAATGTTCTGATTTACATAATGTCTTTGACCAGCTGTCATTTTATGAGTTACTTCATGATGATGTGTCATTGTTCAGTTAGAAACAGAAGCTGATGGCTCAGAACTTCTGTGCCAGCCAACTGATACCACTGCAAAAGACCATTTCAGGTTGAGTAGAAGCATTTGAACATTCTTTAAAGGATAAAGTTTACTTAATAGATGATGTGTTTGATAATCCATCTCTGCTCATTTGAAACTTGTTATATTGTCAGCTTCATGTTATGCAAATACTTGTTTTATTTGTACACACTTCTACATACAGTTACATTGTATTTAATCAAATAAAATGTATTCACCAAAAAGAGCCAAGATGTTCCCCAACATTCTCCAGGTGTTTCAGTTGATTGTTCATCCTCTTTCTGCACTGTACTGCCTAAAGGAAGAAAGAGATTTTATTTTTTGAAATGTTAGAATATCTACTCTGAACACTTGATCTTGCCTTAGTTTTCTTGCCTTCTGTGTATTTGAATTCTAAGGACCGTACCTGCTCTTTGTGGAGCTTTCCTAATTCCATCCTGTAGTTCCCAAATTCTCCAGTTCCACTAAATTCAGAGGAAGTTACAGGTGTTGAGTGTCTTTAAATATTTAGTGCTGTTTCTTCACAGCTGCCTTCTGTCTTTGTGACTCCTTAGCGTATTTGTTACGTTCTTTTCAGTGGTGGGGGTTGTCTACATTTTGTGGATTTTTATACTTACTCAAACTTGGCCAGAGTTACACAGTAGTATAAGAAAAGAGCTCTGGATTTCTTTTGTCTCCTGCCAACATCTGCGTGGAAACTTCTGCAGTTCCACAGTAGCTTTTTTGGCAATTAAACAGTTAACACCAATAAACCTTAGAGACTTTCATATATGTCAAGTACTTTTTCCACACGCCACCCTGTGGAATGGGTATTCTTTATGTGTATATCTCTTATGTTTTACTTCAGATCAATTAGTGAGTTTGTTTAATGCTATAATCTCTAGCATTAGGTGACCTTCTGTCAACATGACCGACTTCTGTTTGATTTTTATTTTTTTTCCCAACATCTGTGCACTGAGATGACACATTTGGCTGTTCCCTCTCTTGTAGGACAGTATTGCTGTTAATAAGAATAATCCTCGAGTACTGCCAGTGTGTGGATAACATTCCTTCCATCACCACTGACATGCTTACCCGCCTGTCTGATTTACTGAAGGTATGACTCCAAACTTACCATCTGTGCTAACAGGGGTATTCAGGGTGGAGAACGTGTCTTACTCCGTAATGCTTCACATGCTTTTATGATTTCATATAAATGATATAAATTGTCTAGAAATGATTGCATTTGTTACTGTGCTGTAAGGTAGCCTTTTAAGCTAAGAGCATTAAAGATGCAATTTGTTGTGTGAATTAACTTCAGGAAGGCTGTCTTTCCTCTTGTTCGCCCGGAATATTGGAAATCCCATCTAGTAGTGCTTGTTAGAGCTGCTTGTCCTTCAGGCTGGGTGTAGGATTAATGCAACTGAAGAAAAACAATTTGATCCCAGGTGCCACAGAGATATATCTATATTCAGGAAGGAGACAAGTCCTTTGTTTTTTTACAAGTCAGTAGAGGTATAGTCAGTAGAAGCATGAAAAATACTATGGGATGAAGCTTCTGTTGTGAAATGTAAAGATGATGAAAGACCAGGACCTTTTTGTCATTTATTTCTCACTAGAGAAGGGGAAAGCTGGTAAAGCTCAGATACTGCAAGGTAATATAAGTAAACGATAATAAAAGGAGCCCATGAATGCACCCTAAAAGTGTCATATATAGGCTCCAAAGCCTAGCAGTTAATTTATTTCAAGATTTTCACTTGTTTCTTTGTCCACAAAGGTTATGTCAGGTCTAAGAGTTCTGAACATAAGCATGATTGATAAAAGACGAACAGATTTTATGCTCTGAAAGTATATTTTACATAAGGTGGGGGACGGGAGAGGGGAAACACACCCTGGGAGATGGACCTTTTAAATAATCTTCCTGTTGGTTCCTTATACAAATAACCACATGTAGGAGTGCTCCTCCCTGCAGTCATCATTCAGATTCATTCACAAACCTTCCCTTTTGAAAGCACTATCCAAGAGAAATCAGTCACTCTGGGGTTGGGGATGCCCCTCTTCACCTCTCATTCTCCAGCTGCTGCTTCACTCAAGGCCTGCAGCACTTTTTTGCAGGCAGGCAGAGTAGCAGCAGATGCCTCAAACTTGGTCAGATTTGCATCTCTGTTACTTCTCTTTCCTTACCATATCTTAGAATCGTAGAATGGTTTGAGTTGGAAGGGACCTTAAAGATCATCTAGTTCCAACCCCCCCTGCCATGGGCTGGGGCACTCTCCACTAGACAACGTTGCCCACAGCCTCATCCAGCCTGGTCTTGAACACTTCCAGGGATGGGGCATCCACAACTTCTTGTTCTAGCTCTGTCATTTGTAGTTTATTCCTTGGTATTCAAATGTGTGCAGCTTAATTATTCTATTTCCTATCTGGCACGAGGTGCCATCAGTTGGAGAGATGACAAGAACAGCTAGCAAAAACAAAAGCTCGTTTATTACACTTTGGACAAAATAAGAGCCACTCAAGGTGTCCTTGCAGGTCACTAAGCTTTTTGTTTGACAACTGTCAGACCTATCAAGCTTTGAAGGTAGTAATAGCTAGTCTTTACTGTGATGGAAACAACTGTAAAGTGTTCCCAGGTGATGGAATTTCAGGCCGTTTTGAACTGTGGCTGCAACCAGAGTGAAATGACACCTGTGTATGGACAAAACCATGATCATAATTATTGGAGTTGTTTAGTTGGTGCAGACAAGAGAAGGCTTGCAGCCACGGTGCCAAAACACAGAAATGCTTTCCTCCAAGCAGTCACAAGGAGGGGGTATTGCTCTTTTGATGTTTTAGGCATGCTACTTCCTCTCCGCTTTGTCTGCAACAGGCTCAGTAACTGAGTAATACAGTTCGGTAACTGAGTAATATTCACAAAAGGCAGGGGGAGAGTACGTGGGTCCATCATCCTTTATAGAGCGTGTTTTTAATGGTCTGCCATGCAGTCAGTGAGTTGGCGCTAGCCTGAGCTCAATACTTCAGAGCAGCTTAGTCTGTGAAGGATACATCTGTCTTTGGCTCAGTGGATCTACTTCTAAAGTCCACCAGGAGGCATAAGAAAAGATCTTGCTTTTCAGGAGGAGGAGGAGGAGTTGAAGTGAACGTTTCAAATCCTGACTTCTGTCTGCCTCTCACAGGTCAAGGGGCCACATGTAGCTCAGGTTCAGTTGTGGCACTAGGTCTGGGTTGCTTTTCTGGCCCTGGATACACCACTCCAGCAGCCCAGAGTGGGTGTGCGGTGTTCAGAGCATATCCTCTCTGGTCCTGTGGTTTGTGACTGACTCTAGGCAATAGCCAGAAAGATTATTTCTTGTTTTTACTCAAGGAGGGTTGAAATTTTGGGTTTGTTCTTGCATTATCATGAAGCAAGACCTGTGAAGTAGGATTGTGGCCCCAAACAAGTGGAGCTCTATGTGATGGAAATCCTCTGTGTTGCAGACATGAGCTGCACGGCAGCCTTGTCACAATTTCTTGTGAATCTTTCTTCAGATGCAAGAGAAAGGGTCAGCTCTCTGTAGGTTTTGCCTGCCAATTTCAACAGAAAAGTTCTGTTCAAACACAAAGCCTGGGACTTCTGCTCTCCATTCAGAGCAGGAACTGGGGACAACAGCAAGGGCTCTTCTATCTCTGCTGCATCACCCAAGCCAATCTAGAATATCTTGTGTCTTAAGCTGGGTGGTAGAGTGGAATTCCAAAATAAGACAGAATACGCTAACAGGAACTGTCTTGCTGTCCAGAGACCTTGCTAGCCTGTGTCCATTTAATGATAATTTTTTTCTGCTGGAGCTAAGTTAGGATGACCAAGTCCTGAGCCATCCAATATACCTGGAATTCCTACAGAATTGGATTTTGATGTGGCACCTTCTGTGCATTGTTTTCTAATCTCAGCATTTTGTAGTGTTTCAAAGACAGATTCAGCCACCTTAGCAGCAGTGAGTTACAGTGCTTTCAAGCTGTCTTTAACATCAGCAGTGGGGAAGGTCTAGAGCCAGAGCAAAAACTTGTTCTTTTGGTATTTTCAACTCTGGTATTACACTGGTCTGGTCTACTAGCAAAACTAGTGAGATCCTTACCCTTTACTCCACCCAAAGCCCTTGTTTGAGAAGTATTTTTTATAGACTTCTAGTACAAAGCTGTTCTTGTGTACAGCTTTCAAAGTAAGGCTGAACATAGCTAGTCTGCAGCAGGTCTGACTTGCTGCTTTCATGCTGACAGAAGCCTCACCCAAAGGTCTCATAGAGAAGTAGATATTAGTTTCCGGATCGAAATCACTGAGTAGCTAACTGTATTTTTAATAGCAGTATTTCTACTTCCCTTTGCTGAAAAGCTGCTTTGAGTGTTTTAATGTAAGCTGAGTTAAAAAATACTACATGCCAGTGACTACTGAGAGTGGTGAAAAAGCTGCTTTTGTCTTACTAGTTAACAGTCATGGACTCCTTTAGCAAGGAGTATGTGAAACCCTAGTACTGGCCTTCATTTATTTTTGTAATAATCTGTTTAATCTTACAGAATTCTATTGATAGTATTTCTAAACTGTGGTGTGTGTAGTTGTTAGAGTCAGCATAAATTGTCATTGTCTTTTTCTTTCTCACAGTATTTCAACTCTAGAAGTTGCCAACTAGTGCTTGGAGCTGGTGCATTACAAGTTGTTGGTTTGAAAACAATCACTACAAAAAACCTAGGTATGGATTTCTATATTTAAAATGTCAGAGTTGCTCTCCTGCTTGTTAAAAAAAACAAACACAAAAAAACCCTAAACGTTTGTGATAAGCTATGTTTGTGTCATGGTGCCATGCATGGAACACAGAGGGTGATAAGACCTTGCTGGTTAGGGGGTAAAATACGTACAAAAGCTAGTGAATTGTCTGATTAAGGGGTGCGCTAAAATCCATTAAATTCCTTTACTGTCTACTGGACCACTTTTAAATTTAAAGCTTCGCTGTGTTACATGAAGGAAATATAAGAACAAATGTACAGGCTAGCAAGTTTTCCATGAAAACTTTTTGACTGTGGGAAGGTGTAGTTACTTTTTCAGTGGTGACTTTGGCATGCTTGGGAGCTGCTTAGCACTTAGATCTTGAGACTGGAATTAGGTAGGTTGAGGAATGCAACCAAACCCCTGTCTCCCCATGCATTTCGCTGAGCTGCGCTGTCTTGTCTGCCCCATGGTGCTGTATTCTGTAACGCTGTGTCCACATGCAGCTCCTGTGGGTTATAACCACATGTCAGTAATGCACAAAATTATTTCTGTGGGTGGCTCTGAATTGAATAGTTAGCCTTTATGTGGCTGAATGTCTCGGCCCAGTCAAGTAACTTAGGGCTCTGTGTTTGCATGCTGAATCCGAACTATGGTTTGAGCTTTAGAGTTTCTCATTTTCAGTGTGCAGCTATTCACCTGAATTGCCGGCCCCAAGTTACCCACCTGGACTGCTTTAGCTGCTTTTCAAGCTGGGGAGAACTAGTTGCCCAGTACCATACTACAGAAAAGTCTGACACACTACTTGAGACCCCCGGTTTTAAACTATCTCCTGAAATTAAGAGCCTTTGGTTGATGGGTTGAAGCAGATGTTTGAACTTGCAGTTGCCATGTTTCAGGGTGTCCTGATTGCCAGTCTGCATTTTCTTTTTTAAATGGAATACCTTGAGGAGGATGGGTTGAGAGGCTTCCTCGCAAGGGGCCGTGGTGTTGAAGCAGACACAAGGGAGCAGAGAAAAGCTGGGTCGGGTCTGCTCCAGAAGGCTTGGCCAGTGTGGTGACCATGCTGGCACCACCATACGTCCTGCTGCCGGCTCAGGCCCTCTTGGACACAAGAGAAGCTCGATTTTGAGAATTCTGCCGGTACCGCAGACACGAGCAGGTTCAGGCTCTGGGCAGCTCAGCACTGGCAGGGCAGGGTGTTTATGTACACCTCCCGCAGAAGAAATATTGATGCCTTGAGAATGCGGTTGCCGAGGTTAGGTAGCTGATGAGTCAGGTCTTTTGAGATCTCTGATGCCTGCATGTGCTCAGGGCTCAAAATGTCAAGTAGACACTTAAAGCCTCTTGTAAAATTAGTCCCTTATCCCGTATCTTACAGAAACTGGGTGTGAATAGCCAGGTACTAGTCTGGCGTCTTCACTGGGTAGGGTTTCCCAGTGGAAACAAATGCTTACCTCCTTTTTAAAAAAAAAAAAAAAAAAAAAATCCCAAACAGACAAAAAAAAAAACCCCAAGCCACAACCCAGAAAATGCATGTTAAATTGTGTCAGATCTGTTATTTACGTTAAAGGAGGTACAGTCTATACAAAATTACTCTTCCTGTTTAATAAATAATTTATTTTTCTTTTCCTCTCTCACTTCTGGATTTACAGCCCTTTCTTCACGTTGCCTACAGCTAATCGTACACTACATTCCTATTATCAGGGCTCATTTTGAAGCTCGACTGCAGCCGAAGCAGTTTAGCATGCTCAGGCATTTTGACCACATTACGAAGGTAATTATTTTGGCATTTCCTAATTAAACGCAAAGTTCTGCTTTTTAACTGTGCTCTGAAGAATATGAATGCCATTAGATAGTAAATAAAACCTGCTTTCTTCCATTACAGGATTATCATGACCACATAGCTGAAATTTCAGCAAAGCTTGTTGCCATAATGGATAGCTTATTTGACAAACTATTATCCAAGGTAATGATTTATGGAAATAATTTTACACTCTCTAAATTGCAGTTGGAGGGCTCATTGTATACAGTCTAGATGTTTCAAATGGAGTCTTAAACTTTCCTAATCAGGAATTGTTTGAACTTCTTTAAACTGTATAAATACAAAGCTCTGTTCTGTACTTGTGAATGTGTTTTGTCTTAACACTTGCCACTTGAGTGTCGTTCACCTTCACCCCCACAAAAAAAAAAAAAAGTGTTTACTCCTTCAGCAGTAACAGAAATGCTTTGGCTGGCGCAGATGCTCTGGTGTTTAGAAAGAGAAGTGCTCTCCTACCCTCGGCAGTTTTATCCACTGACAGCTCTTATCTGCAGTCAGGCTGAGCCAGTTCCCATTTCCTGCTCTTCCCAATGGTGCCTTTTTGGAAGCGGGGAGCATGTAATTTCCTGCAGCTGAGGAAACAGCAAAAAACTGCTGAAGAGGAAGAGTTTTTGGAGGGGAAGGACCAGCTCATCTATTGGGCTGCAGGCCAGAGGGGCTAGAGGTCTGCCCTTAGCAGTTCCTGCTGTGTGGTGTTAATAGCTGTCCCATGAAGTGCTCTTAGGTTTTTTTTGGTTTTTGAATGCTCGTCAGTGGAACAGGTTGCACCTGGGCTGGATCCACTCACTCTGACTCGTAACCAGGCAGAATACGCTGAGAGAGACTGCCCCAAGATGGGGCCTCCTGGGCCCACAGCTCTGGTAGATGAGCTTTTAAAGCTTAGTGTTTTGCTTTGGATCTTATGCTCTTAAAAAAACCCCAAAAAAACCCCAACCAACCAAAACAAGCAAGCTGTTTCATGAGAGAAAAACATTAATTCTTTACTGACTGACTTGATCGATTAGCCTGGGTCACCCTCTTCCTTGTAGGAGCTCGTGAGAAGCACAGCATCTCCCTGCTGGAGCACAGGTCCGGGACAGGCTGATGGGGGCTGCAGTGAGGCAGCTGTAACAGGCAGCATTTCTGTCTTCCTTGCTGTTTCTTTTATTTTACTGTTTATTTTATGTTGTGCTTTTTCTTTTCATCTGTTTCTTTGGGCCATCAAATAGTGTTACCTAAACTTAGGGGGGAAAAAAAGCCAAAGCATTTAAATTAGGATTCCCTGCCCCATGTTGTGTTTGCACTTTTTAAAATGTGTTTATACCCTTTTCTAAAGATCCAAATAGCGGTCTGCTGCTTTTTTGGTTTTTTCCCCCACATAAAAAATACCTGTTCTATGAAGTAACATGTCACTTTGGTTACTTTACCTCTTATCTCTTGAAAATAAAAGACAAATGCAAGAATTTAGATTATTGATACTAAACAAGCTAGCCAACAACAAACCAGTAACACAGTCTGTGTTCTTGATGGAAGTTAATAAGCATTCGTCACTTACTGTCCTTCCATCTCCACAGCCTGTTCTCCCCTTGTGAGGTACAAACTGAGAATATTCCTGTCCTTTAGAGCTCTTAAATGCTTGAGTGAGAGTGTCTGGCTCACGTGAATGGAACCCGCAGAGTACAGGAGAAAAGGAGACCGTGTGTTGATTTGCCTCCATTCCTAACATACCCCATAATTTGGCTTGTCTTGTTCCTGAAATAATGAAATCTTGGCACTGAAGGCTGTGAAGAACATAAAACCAGGACATTTGCAAATGGGCATGTCAGTACAACCGTGTCAGTATGTTCTTTGTTTTACATGTTTTTGTGAGAGTCCAAATATTTCAGTGCCTTGTGGAATAAAGTGGTCACCTGCTAAAGTGTGTAAATCTGAATGAGTGAGCAAACGAGTTTCATAGCAATGCATATCCAGCGTGCTTTAAAAACAAACATTGCACGATCTAGAAACCCGCTTTGTAGGAGACAAACGGTTTGGTCCAGTAGATGGGACGTTGACCTGGCACTTGGGTAATGCGGGCAAGTTACTTTTGTGTTTCCAGGCTCTGCTTCCCTCTGGGAGCTCCGTGGAACAGGAGCTGTCTTCACACAGTGCCACTGGGATGAGGCTGTCCACTCAGTGAGGCGTTTCACAACAGCACGGACAGTTCCCAGCATCTGTCTATTAACTTTGGCATGGAAATAGTACAGGAACAGGGGCATTTAACAGCTATAATTAACAAGTGAAAAAGGCGTAGGATTTTAAAAAGGGATAAATGTTCATGGAAAAAATCCAGTGTGAGTTCTTAGTTTCTCTTGAAGCTTGCTGTCTTGTGACTGTTTGGACAGAAGAGCAGTAAATTTTTGTCTGATCCCTCATGGCATTACATGCTGTTGACCTTAGCTGGAGATAAAAATGGCTAACAACTTGCAGGGCTGGAGCTCATGTTTCTTTCAGGTGCTGTTGGTGTCGTCCCCCCCCCCCAACAATAGTGAGTTTGATTTGTCTGTAGTCATGCAAGGGCCATCGCTGCAGCTTGCCAGTTCCCTTTGGCTTTACAGCATACTGGTAAATTGTAGATCATTTGTTGCCTGACTCTTGTGTCTTGAGGCACAATCCTGTACGCTGTGCGGTTGTCCCATGCAGGGAACAGGGCTCCTATAGCTGCTTTTGTGCTACTTCTCCTTTTAGAATAGGTTGTCAGTTTGGCTTTTTCATGAAGACTTTCTGAAAACTTC